AACAGATAATTCAAAATAAATTACTGCTTAGTTTGCATATGCACAAAATGTAGGCATTTCAACACAGTAAAATTCTGTCAACATTCACAAATGCTTCTGAATAATGAAGAATACTTAATATTATAAAGTTAAATAAGGAAATATGAATTAAAAAGCCATACAGAAGAAAATAGGATATTTTCAAAATCAAATTAGATCCACATCAGAAACCACAGTAAATGTATTTAAAAGTTATAAAACAAATATGCATCATAATGGTGATTTGAAGTTGAATACTTCATACACAAATTAGCCATGAAGAATTGAAAGATGGTAAGAAAAGTCATAGAAACAAAGGAAAATGTATAAAAAATACTAAATGCTTTTTTCTTCCCCTAAATATTAATAACATCAAATCTATTTTAAGAGTAAATATAGTAAAATGTTAGCTGTGGTGTGACATTACAGATAAAATTTTAAAACACATTATCTTTGATATTGCTAATTGTAATAGAATTAATTATATCTAGTTATTGATAAAATTAGTTTTGAGAAAAATTTATTTTATTTTTTTTTATAAATTACTCTATTTTAAGATCTTGATTTTCACTAACACAAAAAAGTTTAGGCCCTTTTACAATAATTTTATGCCTGACAGCTGTATTTGTAATACCTTGGCCTTCCAGAAATATGAGAAACCTGGATAATCAAACACTTATTGTTTCACTTGAAATGGTCAAATGGACATTTACTTTGCAAATATGCTGCAGATTTTTTGAATGGAGGAACAGTAAATATGCTCATATCACAAGATAAGACTTATAAATTTTGGCTCTTTTGGAAGTTTGCAATTGAAACCCAATCTATACAGGTTTCTTGGTACATTACAGTTGATACAGTGAGATTTAAAACAACAACAACAGCAAAAAATAATCAAAAACCTCATGGAAACCATGTAAGATAGCATAACATCAGTTCTAACTTTCAGGAAAATTTCTGTATTGTATGAACAATGAAAGCTACAAAATAAAATCTGATCAGTTGACACTGTAACAACAAATCACATTAAAATTCCTGAAAACCCTTAAATACAAAGATGCATTGACTTCACTTCCTTACAGACCCACTGCGGTGCATATGCTAAAGTATATCAAAGTGATATCTTCAGAACAAGGCCTTACTAAGAAAGAAATACTGCAGCTCTGGAAAAAGGATATGGATGATAGGAAACAAAAGAAAGTTGACAGAGAAGAGAGGATTCCATGTAATTTGTTGCTACAATTCTTTTCAGTTATTTGCATAAATTTCCTCTTCCTTTTCCACCCTTTACTTTGTCCACTCCAAACCCTCCATGGCTTCCTCTACATCTACCTCTTCCAATGTGCACCCCCAACATCACACACATATATCCTTAAGTCATGAAAATGGTGAATTCAAGATACAATATGAAAAATATTCTGGAAATACAATGTTTAAAAAGAAAGTCAAGCTTCCTGCCCCCATGGAGCTTACATTCTACTAGGAAAAGTTAACATTAAATATATAATCACTCATATAAACATATAATTACAATTAAAATGATTGCTATAAAGGAAAATACAAGTCTTCAATCAAAGCACCAACATACATTCATTATTAACATTAATTATTAACAGCTCCTGAGCTATTAACCAGCCACGATGGCTGGATTTGCAGTGTAACTTACTTTTTTGGCATTTTAATTGAAATGGTCATTCGTTTCTCTCAGACAACCATTAGAGTAAAGTATGAGTAAATAATTACTGAAATGAAACAACCAGTTAAACAATCATGGAAAAAACAAAAACAGAAACAAAAAAACAACTCAATTCCCAGGCAAATAAACAAACCTAAATTCTAAATAGAATGGAGAATAAAGTTAGCATTGTCAGTGGTCCTAAGAATACTAATGACAAACTTCAAGCTTAAAAAAAGAAAGCAAACACAATTTTCACAAAACCCATTTGGATCCATCTAGCCACAACTAGCAGAAGCAAGGCTGGCTCTAGATAACACCTCTCTTCAGCTATCCCAAAGAAAGCTATGTTTCATTGAAACCAAGTTTATTCCTAACTGCATCCAGTTAAAGGTGACATGTCCTTGTTCAGAAAACACGAAAACAAATACAAATAATTAACTCTAAAGTTTGAAGTAGAATGACCAACTGAAAATATGAGGCAAGATGGCCTATGGGAAGAGTGAGAAAGCTTCCATTTCATTCATTATGATTCTGCCAGCACATGGCAATGATCCTTAACATGTCTCCTTAACATAGCTTAGCTGTTCTTGTCATGTACACATCATAAGGGATTCTGCAGTTTCCAAACACTGAAAAATTAATTAGGGAGTAAAGGATCCACACCAACTATGTAAGGATACATCACAAAGTGGTATCAGTGCTTACCTCTAGGGAGAAGACTGAGGAGGATGAAGAAGGTTAACAGGAGTAATATTCTCTTTAGATGACTTTTGTTTTTGGGTTTTTTTTGTTTTGTTTTTTTGTTTTTTTAAGAAATAGCATTCATCTATCACTGGGCATTTAACTTTTAGAAAATATTTAAAAATCCATATAGAAAAAAATCAAAATGATAATGTTTTTGAATCCAGTTTTGCCTCTGGACTCAAAAAAAAAGAAAGAAAGAAAGAAAGACATTAATGCACAGATGTTCATTCCAGAGTCCCTGAATTCACTACTGCTAAAGAGGGCAGCGGTGTCAAGAAAAATGCTCCAGGATTATACTATGATGGAAAGATTTAGGAAGCATTAATTTACAATGCAAATAAATTATTTCAGAGTGGACAGGTTTAACACCTATTTTATGCACAACTAGGATTTAACTTGATATTGAAGCTATAGTGGAAAGTTTCTAGGTATTTTTTGATTCCTTCGACATGTGGCACAGGACAAGGAGAGCTACCTGAGGGAAGCCCCTGATTCATGTTATCTTTATCTTTTCTGAATGTTAATCACATTTTTTTAACATTTTCAGCACTTCCATTCTGTCATTTATACTAATTTGTCCACGTTTTCATTTCCCTAATAAACTGAAACTCTTTGAATGTGCATACCATGTCATAGTCAAGATTATATTTTTGCTCTAGAATGCAGATTTGTTGAACTGATTTATAATTAAAGAAGACTTACAAATCATGTTTCTCAATTCTATACATCTAATTAACCAACATGTAAAGGTTACCACTCTGATTTGCAAAATATTCAAACCTATCTTAAAATATTTTCCCCATTTAACAACAAAAAGCATCCTGGTTCCATTAACAGAAGAAAAATGTAAAGGAACAACCAAATTCCTGCACTCTGTAGTTTTGTGCTGATTGAGGAATAAACTTCAATGAAAAGTGGTGAAGTAAAATATGTTTGACACACATGCCAACAGAAAACATTTAAGACTGACATATAAAACTGAATGAAGTTAAGTGACACAGCATTAATTACATCAAAACAAGTATCAGCTGAGTATAAACATAAATTATTCTCTACTAGAGTTAAATGGTTATAGAATTAAAAGATTATTTTTGAGTTACTTTTTTACAACATAACGTATATGTGTATGTATATTTAGAAAGTTTGTGTATATACATGCATTCATACATATACAAACACATACACATATAGTTTACTCAGCCAGTAAAATAAAATATAAATACAGTTCCCTCTATGACATCCTGAATCCTCTAAGAAGGAACATGGTAGGAAATGCCCACTAAGAAAGGGAAGTAGATGAGAATTCGACATAAAAACTTTAGAAAACCTCCCAAATGGTACATGAAATCTCGAAAACAATTGATAAATACTGCCATTTGTGTAGTTGCTGGAAGGCTTAAAACAATATTAAATTATAATATTGGAAATGGTTGACCAAAACACAAACTGCAATAGCATATGTTCTCTTTTTATTGGCTCAAAATACCCAAGCAACATTTGTTTCTAAAGCTCAATTTTACACATTTAAAACTGATATCATTTCTTACTTATTGCCTGGCTCATGTTCAGGTGCTTTTTCAAGCAGAAAAGTTTCCCTGCTAGATGACACAAACGTAAAGGTGAAAAACTGTGAGCTTTTGTCCCAATTCAGATTTAGACTCAGAGCACAAGAAAATTTAGAGAATTTAAGGATAAGACACATTCCTGCATTAAAAATAAAAACAAAACCCATGAAAAACAAAAACAAAACAAACAAAAACAAAAACTAGAGACCAAGGGCACATTCAGTAATACATAGTTAAAAATGGTTAATTTAAAGGCTATGATACATATTTACCACAGCTACGTATCATCTACCTCCTGTTAATGAAAACACTAAACACAATGTGGTTGGCTCTAAATGGCAAATTAAGCATGCTTTTAAATCTAGCATCAATGCTGTCAAGGAGTACACATGCCTGACTTACCAAGTGATGCAGAAATGTATACCTGGTTGATAACGTTCTTAAAACAAAGTTAGTATGTGCAAAAGAAAGAACAGGCTTGTCTTGTTTCTTTGTCTCTTTCACAGTACTGCCTTTTCAAGTTATTGTGGAATTAATGTGTATATAGACATCTATCAGGCAACAAGGTGATGAGCGCACCACAGTACCATTTCAATGCTGCACATGCTTAGACGTCCCAATGCAAAATGGCTGGGGCAGGTGTGCTCCCGAGTTAAATGTTTGAGGATGACATATTTATGGTGACTACACTCATCATTTAACTACCATTAAATGGTACTGCAAAAAAATGATCCTGAAACCTGTAGCTAATTTCTAAATATACTAATTATATAAGCAGCCGATGTGGAAAAAAATCACCCTAAAGAGCAAGAAAAAAAGAGAGTGAAACATTTTGATGGATTTTTCTTACCTTCAATTGATAAAATATTCATTAACACTCATACCCACCTCCCAGTGCCCATTACTAATGCAAAAAGGTCTAAATACATTTTCATAATGTATACACACTGTAATTCATATAGATGATATTAAGGAGAAATAAAATAATGTAATACCTTTACTTTTACCTATGGATTTGATGAAATGGTTCCATGAAGAAAGGGTTTCCATACAAAGAGAATAAAAAGAGAAACAACAATAAGAATTATGAATATATGTAAATGCACTACTCTTTGAAAATTAAACAAGACAAGAAAGTATAAACAAGGGTTTGAAAACACATGGAGATATAATCAGCACATGTTGAGAAATCTGCCTTCTTTTTTAAGGCAACATGCAAAAGAACTGAAACACCCATGCTCACTTTAAAAGATTACACAAAAAAGAAGATACACAATGACTGTACTATATGTAGAAAAAGTATTGATTCTATGAAACACTATACTCAGCATTCGAGAAGCCAGAAGCCAAAGATGTCTGCATGTTCCCAAACTGCCATGCATGGGTGAAAAATGGACTCTTTTTGGTATAGTAGATTAAACTGAATATGGTATTAACTTCTGATGGTTCTCGGTTTTTCTTTACTATAGCTACCCTTAACTGCATATGCTTATAAATGTATGGAAACTTTCAATCACAAATTCTTATGTCTCACTTATCTGCAGATATTACAGTGCAAAGAATGACGGAAAATAAAAGTCAAAGGAGCAAACCAAAATCAAACCAACAAATAAAGGGGAGAAAAACATGAAAAAATGTGAACCAAATTATGTATTATTTTGCAGCCAGATACTTTGCAAGCATTTGCCCATCCTTTGCAGTGATGGTTTAAAGCAGCTACAGAACAAGAAAACACTGAAAGCAGAGTGGAAAAGGAACAGAGCCCATACCTTGGTCGCCCATCATCAGGTGCGCCAGACCTTGAAGGGAAACAAGAGCACAGTCAGCAATAAACAAGGGAGCATGGGAAGGTAGGGTTGTCACGGTGACAAAAATGTTCAGTGACAGACATCTTGTTTCCTATGAGACGTGTCTGTATCACAGAGGCAAATCAAAAAGCATTCTTTCAACCCCTGGTTGGAATGCTTTGGGGCAAAGAGCTACAGTACTGCAATTTAAACAATGGCATATGCTGCCCTGTGTATTTCTTCGATGTATCAGTTGGAACGATCAAGAGCATAAAAGCATGACTTAAAATCCAAACCAATCCCTTAAATATTGCATCTGCCCTTTGTGCCCTTTGATGAGACTGTTTGGAACACTGCCACCACAAGGTTTCTTATTCTTTGGTGATGAAATTGTATTTTTAAAAACCCAAAGAAATATCTGGAACATGGGCTGGGTCTGATCTTTTTCCCCTCATCAAAAAATGAGAAGTTTTATAATTAAATTAAAAAAAATCCCTTAGTCACACTGAAATGATAATGCAGAAATGTCTACTTGTCTAACACATGTAGCAATTGACTAAGCTTGTTCAAATACAAAAAAGACTTTTAAACATGCAGCTGTAAAGTTGGAATTTACTACAGAATGATGTTTTTAGGAAACAATGGATCAGCTTTAAATAAGCTCAAGTAATTTTCCATGGAGAACAAAACTAGTCTTTTACTTAAACATTATCTAAATACTAAACTATGAGTTAATGTGAATATATATATTTAATCATGTTTTATATTTTTATATAAATCATAATTTCATCAAGGAAGTTTTCAAAAATAATACTGAATTCCCTTTACTTAAATTATTTATTATCTGTTATTTGACAGTTTACTTCAGTTTGAAGATCACTCCTTTTCTAAAGAATACTGCTAATGTTCTTTTAAAAAACTCACTATCCAAGAAGATACTTTTTACTGAGAGGCATTAATTCCTAGTTCTTTATTCCATATTCGGAAACAAAGCTACTCCTCAATCCATGTCTATTTCAAGAATATGGGAAAATATTGGAGCGATATAGTAATACATACAGCAATTTCAGTAGAATTTATATTTCACTTCCTAGTGTTATTTCAAAATATATTTGAGACTTTATTGAGCTACATGATATTATACACCACTTACATCAATACTGAAATAATCTGCATTATTTCCTTAAAATTTTAGGAGTATTTAAACATCCCTGTGCGGCAGATACAATTACAAATCAACATATAATCAAAATATGAAAACTACTGAATATAGAAGTTTAATGTTACTGTAATATAGCTTCTTTTTGTATTTTCAAAGTGATTGTAACAAAAAAAATCACAGAGGCAGTTAAAAAAGTTTATGATCTGTTGGTTATTCTGTGTAGGTTATATAATTTTTCATCCAATTTCATTTTAAAACTACTATACATATTTCCTAAAAATAGTTTATAATTTTTGTAGACTAAATCAAGGCATGATCTCTGCATAAGATCTAACGTTTAGAAAATACATAAGACACTTCAAATAGTGGTTTTGAATACCACCTCAGTAAGGATGGAAGTTAATAAATCTCAAAAGCATTCACATTCCTCATGCTAGACTTTCTTACCTCTAAGCGAGTTCCACTATATTGCCAAAGTCAAGTTATAAATAGGAATGTTATAATTATGATTGAATAAACTTTATTACAATAGTTTATGGGCCTATACTCTGAAAATGTTGTCAAAATTTTTCATGGGATGCATGTGTGAGGAAAGAGGCATTCAGGCTTATTAGGCTGATTTTAAAGTTCCTGGAATGCAACTGGATTTAAAGAGAAAGAACAAAAACATGGAACATTTTACAGAATGCTTAAGGAAATGGAAAAGAAGTTGAAAAGATACTTATTAAAAAAAATTCAATCTCAATTTACATACATAATATAAATGATACTAATTTTGAAAGATGTCAGACCCTTAGGGTAATATCATCTTTACCAAGTGCATATTCACATGCTATTAAAATTACAGTATAGAAAAACAGAAGCCATATACAGAGCCAACATTTGGAAAAACAGTCATTGATGATTACTTTTGAAATCTTAATCTATTCTACTTAAATAATGGAATAGAAATGTTCAGCAACTAAGCAACTAATGTTCAGCATGTTATTTGTGAAAGTATCACAAATAACATGCTGAAGGCTGCTACTGACCCAAATTTGTATTACCATGAGTTGCTCTTTGAGACATCAAATCTTAGTGACTTTAATAGCTATCTGTAACCTCAGATGGGAATTCTTTTTCTAAGACACATATCATTCTGTAGAAATGTTCATTATTTTTACAGAATGGCTCTATCTAAAAATATTGCAGCAAAATAAAATATGTTAAGATAATGTTAAAATATGTTAAAATAAAAATGTTAAACATTTCTCAAATATAGACATTAGTTAAATGTTCATGCAAGAATTGTTAATGCTGTGATTATATAAGTTGATGGAACATCAACTTCCCTCTCACAATTCTTTGGTCTATCTAGAGATAGATTTGTTTGGCAGCACACTGACTTACACATTTAAGTTCTTTAAAGATAAGAATGTTGAAATATGTTTTAGTTTGTTGGATTCTATAGGAAAAATGTGTAACTTTCTCAAAGTGCCTTACAGAGATAATTTTGAAAAAAACTTTAATAAGTATAATAGTTTTATTTAACAGACACAGAATATGACAAATATACTTACCAGTAATTATGCTGGAGTGCTGTACACTTTCATTTCCAATGGCCAGTGGCTTATTTTTTAATCTAAATTTATGCCTCTTATAGTCAATGCTTTATTCTGTGTTCTTTATATAAGTCAAATCATTTGAAATTAAACTAATGAGCTTGAGGTGATGTGATGCTAAACATTTCCAAAAGAAAATAAATCATTTTGATCAAGAAAAAAAAATGGAAAAAAGATCATGCACTGTGTTCTGAAACTGCAAAGAAACACTTTCTCATTTAAAATAAAAGAAGAGGATTGTATCATTTTTTCCATACAGAACACTGCAATAAGTATTTTAAGTTTTACATGGGATGCTGGAAGCCATCGAGGATTGGAGTTAAGGCTGAAGGAGTTTCATGTACTTAGGGGCTAATGGGGTTGAGAGCACATGTTCTATTATGAAAAGTGATACACAATCCAGAAATCAACAAATGCTCAGAAGTTCAACTTACCGTCTAAATTCGAGATGTACTCTATCAATACTAAGAAATAAAAGGCAAATGAGAGTTGGAAAATAAAGTTGAAAGCACCCACCTTCCACATTGTTGTCTTCTGAAAGCACATGACAAGGAGGGAGAGAAAAGGAAAAACATTCATTAAGCAGCATGCAGACTGGACCTTTGCCTTTGCATGTCTTCCTCATGCAAGGCACCAAACACATCATGCAAGTGCTCCATCACTACGGTTCAAAGGGGAAAACAAAATCATGGGAAGCAGGTTCCCGCCTACTGGTAGCATTTAAAGAATGTGAGACAAAATTTTGGTAATAACTGCCATGTCCTGAGCAAGGAAATGTAAAAAGTCTTTCACTGTGCTATGTAAAATAAACATTCTTACATGTTGCTGATGTGGCTTTCCCAGGCAATTATTTTTAAAGGCTGATTTATTTATTTATTTAATTATCTATTTACAATTCCAAAAAATTCTATGCCTAAACACTGATTTGGACTTGGATAAAATAAAGTCCATTGCCAAGAGCCATGAAATTTCACTTAAAAGGTACTTCACTTGTACAGAATATGTAATCCATTTACCATCATGGCCTTTAAATATTTCTAATACTTCAATTTCTTTCCTTAAACACAACATAAACCTATGTAACTGAAATTCATAATATGGCTTATTTATAGCGTGTTCATATTTCATTGCAAATAATGGTAGTTTATCGTAATTTGTGAAAAAGGCTAATTTTTAAAACTGTTAACTAGAAAAAGTAATCCTTGCAAGAGAAGTATATTTGGGAGCTGTTCTTTAGACAAAATTTATCATGATTTATTGACTTTGTACTTCTGTTTACGGTGGGAATATGAATATAGTTAATGTAAGGACAATACTTGGTAAACTTTCCTTTATGTGTCCATATAACCTACATAATATTTACATATTTTCATATATTTGTGTGTATTTCCATATGTGCACATATATACGTATATATATACAAAGACACACACATAATTCAAGCAGATTTTGCATGTATTTCCCACACATAAACAATGCAAGGGTATGGGATTTAAACTATTTTTAGTAACTACTAGACAATTCATGTACTATTGATACACAGGGCTTAGCATCCAGGTAAGAAATGGAAGAGAGAGCTGTTTTCCAGGACTAGACAACAGCAAGGTTTCAGTACTTATCAAATGTTTCCAATAATAAGATAGAGCCATGTTGACATTTCTAGTCTCATTCTTTTATTTAATCAGCTGTAATTTTAAAAATGGTTATTTGATCAAAAGCGTTTATAAAGAACAAAACAACAGCAAGCGTGGGAACTTGGAGAAAAATAACTTATAAATGTGCCATGTCATAAGGTTCAACAAATAACTCTTTCTAATTGTTAAAGTTACTAATGAATTAGAAATCATCAATTTTGTTTAAAATCTATTAGCTGGAAACTGAAATATCAACATAGGCACATTTATTGATGGGGTCCTAACATATAATAGAAAATAGTAGATAAATGTGGACAATAGCATCTGGACAAAATACTTGGTTTGCCAGAGTTTATTTTAAAAGATATAACAACAAAAAAAAAAGACAAATATTTGATATGTGATATTCATTTCCTGATTGGTTTGGTTTCTAATCTGCTAAATAAGGAATTAAGACTGGATTTGCTACTTTTCAATGGCTACTCTGGACACAAATATTGAAGATTTATTTTACTACACTGGAAATTCCACAAAGATACAGATTATTTCAGTGTTTAAGACACACTTTCATTTTATGTTAACCACCCTTTGAAATTCTATTCCCCATTTCAAACACTTGCTTAAAAAAATAAAATTGTTTAATACATAGGAGAGAACAACAAAATCAAGGAGAGACAACTGTCAAAATAGTCTATCATTTATTATGGCTCTACTTAATTTCTGTAAACAAAGACTGGCAAACATGATTGTGAGTAGCACAGTCTCAGGAAAATCGTTTTTTGGTAAAGTGCTGTATGAGAATCTAACAGTAAACGAAAAATGAAAAACAAAGTAAAACAGGCCCAGGCTCGACACCAATTTTATAAATGTGCTAAATAAGATAAGGAAAGGAAGTTGTGCTATAATAAAATCAAGGTCATTGACTCTGATCCCCTGAGAGTTTTCTTCTTTCTCTGTTAACTAAGACACAAGGCCACAGGCAGCACCATTGATCTTGCCCTGCCATCCAGCATGTTTCTGAGTTTTTATTCAGAGAGAACAGGCTAACTAATGGGACCCTTTGTATGTAAATCCAAGTCATGCCCAATGTGTAAACTAATCCCGACTTGACCAAGTTCAGAAAAATGGGCTGTCTCAGAAGACTTAGATTAAAAAAAATAATCAGGAGCACTTGCCTGGCTCAGTCGGTAGTGTGAGAGACTCTTAACCTCAGGCTTGTGAGGAGTTCAAGCCCCATGTTGGGCATGGAGCCTACTTAAACAAATTTAAAAATTAAAAAAAAATTTTTAAATAAAGTACTAGAATAAAAGGAAGGGTAATATTAACTCCTATATTTTAAAAAAATAGAATAAAAGAAGAAACTGGCTTGGAACAGACTTTATTGACTTTCCATAAATTTTTAGACTCAATCTTACACTTAAAAAAAACCCTTCTCTTTACTTGTATCATTCTATTCTACCCCTTTGGTATCCATTTGTTTGCTTTAGTTAATTTAAAATCTGTTAACCTAGGGGCATCTGGGTGGTTCAGTCGGTTAAGCATCTGACTCAATTTTGGCTCAGGTCATGATCTCAGGGTCCTAGGATCAAGCCCCACAACTGCATTTAGCAGGGAGTCTGCAGGAGATTCTGGAGATTATTGCTCTCCCTCTGCCCCTCCCCCCACTCATTCACTTGCATGCTCTCTCTCTAAAAAAAATAAATTTGAAAACAAATTTAAAAATCTGGTTAACCTAAAGATGATCCCTACATTATTGCAATATTTTGCACATAATTATAAATAGCAGGGAGTGTGCTGGAGATTCTCTCTTCCCCTCTCCCTCTAACCCTCCCCTCACTTGCTCGCTCACACGCTCTCTCTCTCTAAAAAAATAAATTTGAAAACAATTTTTTTTAATTTGGTTAACCTAAAGATGATCCCTACATTATTTCGTAATTTGGACATAATTATAAATGGTGGTAGTGCTATAATTTACAATCATTCTCCAGGTGTTTTTTCTTTTCTCTTTCCTTTCTACTTGGTTTTTGAAATAAAAGAATATTGAGTTTAAAAAGAACAGTTTTCCTCATAACATCAACTTTTGCTTTCTCTTTGTAGATCTTTTGCAATCAAATAGTATTTTGATTTTTAACAGCAACAGAGAGGGGGCAAAATTTGGTACGCCAGAGTGTAAAGGTAAAACAGTATATTTTGCTTTAGTGTAAGGTAGAAAGCAGTCCATCCAGCCTTACCTGTGGACACTGTCAAGTTAGGGAAAAGCTCTCGGTTTGCAGAAAACCCTGGCTTCTTAATTCTGCTGACTAATCCTGCTGTGTACATGAAGTGAGTCTTAATAAGCAACTTTACTATGATGACCATGCCGCCTATAAAGATCACACTCATTTTTTTTTTCATTGTGAAAATAAGGAATAAAAGCAAGAAAAAGATACCTTAAATTTTCTTTTTCTTTCAAATAAGACATGTTTCCCTCACAAAAATGAGAATAGGCACCAGAACATCAGTCATGTTATGAATAATTTGTGTGCTGTTGACATGAAGGGAAGTATATTCTTGAATTACTTCAAAAGAACATCTCCACAAAAAATTTTCCTTCGACCCCCCAGCTTATAAGAATGCAAGGACAGTAAGTTTAATTTATCGTGAGTGTTCTTTGCACATAATTTTATTTACATACTTCTAGGAAAAGAAAAATGAGTAAGGAAGCAAATGCGTTTGCTTCAATATAAAGCAAATCAGGAATTTAATCATGACCAGTGGATAAATTAAAGTGTTATATAAAATATCACAGGTAACTCCTTTTTGAATAATCAACATTTAAGTTTAGCAATATTAAAGGCTTCACCTAAACCTGCAAGCAAGAGGCAACTTACGTGCTTCATTTTATGTTCAAAATTGAGTGAAAGTAATCTGTCACCACTTGGCCGTTCCTTCTCTCTTTTGTCTTCCTTCCTTCTCTGCTAGTTGCTTGTGACCAGCAACCTTTATTTTTCTTTGGCTCCCTCTCTCCTTCATCAAAACTGCCTCTCCTACAGGTGACTTCCCACCCAGATCTATGCATTCCAAAGTGGGGTACATAGTAACAAAACTGGTGGTGGTGCAGACCAGCAGAAAGAGGAATACAGAGTAAGATTTTATTTCCTTCTTACATACATTGAGCTTGCTACCTTCTATCCTCGCCTTTCCAGCCTCTCCCATTATTTTCAAGACTTTATCCCTCATTTGGAGGATTAAATGCCAGTAGAGCAGAGTCTGGTTCCCATGGTGGCACCAGATGGAGCTTTGCTTTATTTTATTTTTCCTTTGGTGTTAACAGTGAAAGCCTTTAGAAAACCTCAATCATCTGGGAATGCTTCAAGAACTGGGAAATGGAGGAAAGCATTGAAACTGTGGATTTGTGCGACATGTCAGCTGGAGGAAGAGAAATGCTGGCCAGAATCAAGAGAAAGTTCAAACAGTAAATGAAGCAAAAAGGTCCATTATGGAGGCTTATGGAAGGAAAGAAACAGCCGGGGCAGGAAGGCTAGTTCCAAAAAAAAAAAAAATTTTTTTTTAACAGGTGCCCTCAGCCACTTGTTTTAAATCTACCTAAATAGCGTTCCCACCCAGCTTGCTGGAATCCCGGTCTTAGGGCATGAGGGGAACCAACTATAATAGCTAATACTTTTTCTTCCTCTCTTCACTCTTCAGGAGTAAAAGAAGGGGTATCTCTAAACCAACGTGCAGCAGCAAGGACATGCCTGGCATCACACTTGGAACTATAAAAACATTTTCCCTAGCAACATTCTGAGCAACATCCAACTATACTTTTGGTAAAAAAAAAACAAAAAACTATGATTCAAGTATATTATGGAATTAATTTGAGTCCTTTGTGGTCTGAGTTTACCTTGCCTGACAGTGTTG